ATGGATGGATGGATATGTCCCATTGTGAATTAAATGTGTTTATATGATATAAAAAGCTTTTATTTCCCACAATAGCCTTTTTTTGATTGGGCTTGTTTTATGCATCTTTAGATTGGCTTTCTGTATAACATTACATTATTCTAAAAGCTCATGACTCATGATAGGACTGTCTGGCAAAAACAAATTGTTTTGGGGGTTGCCATTCCTTTCCAATCCTGTTTTTAGCACTTTTCATAATTGCAGTTTAATGTCATAAAAGTCTGTGAGTGAAAGTAGTAAATGTTCAGTGACATTCTCTMCAGCTGCAAAAAAAACAAAAAAACTTCATGGATCAGAGAAGGTATGTGCACAGAATGAAACTGAATTAGCTTGGTTTTAGACAACAAAGTGGCCGCTGCCACGTGCACTTTTCACATTACACGCTGGCAGTTTATTTAAGTGGCAGCAACTGGTGGTGAAACCCAACTCTGTCTACATTTAGAGCAGGAAATGCAGGGTGAGAGGTTCACTGGCTGTAAAGGACTGAAAAGGCTGAAAGGCAGCCACTTAAACAGGTCAATAAAGTGACCCCTCTGACCCAYGGGGGGTCCTGGACTCAGTCAAGGAGTGCTGCTGAGGGAGAGAGAGAGAAAACCACACGAGACACAGGGCTGATCTTATTTGACTTTTTTTAATGGAATGTATTTCTTTTGAGGTATGAAAATATATCTCACATCAAAATAAGAAAGGGAACAGTGGCTACAGAGGGCACAGCTGTAATCGGGTGAGGAATGATGAAAACAGGAAGGCGTGTCGGCGAGGCGTCGCCTCAGCTGCGTTGGATACAGGGCGCAGCGTTGGCCCCGTGTGGGAGATGACAGCAACACAGAGGCATGTGTTGGATCGGCTGCCATGCACTGGCAAGCAGTGTGAGACGCTCCAAGGAAACAGGAAGCAACACGAGCCACAGTGAGATAAAATATGTCTGGATGTGGTTACAAGGCTCCATCCTGAGAAACATCAGACTGTTGCCTGACCTCTGCATGTCGCTGTGTACCATCTATAAGTCTTTTATTAAACGTTTACTTTCTTATGAAACACGGCTCATTGTGTAATGCTGAGATATTCTCTAAGATATCTCAGAGACTGAGCTGCTGCAGGGACTATTTTAGAGAACARTAAAGAGAACTTTATTAATACAGAAGACATTTCAAAAATATTTTTTGACTCACAAAAACCTTCTCAATGTAGTTGTAGGTGATGACTCAGGAACACTGAATGAGCTTTTTTCTAAAATGTGTTATTGTGAGAGAGTCAGCTTTAAAGACCCCATTTGCACATCAGRTTTAAAAAAAACATTTTCTGCTGCATCTACACCTCCCATTCACAAAAAACTAATGATTCTGTGAGGATTTAGTTAGTCTTAAACATTGATGCGGAAGCTTAACTCGTGACTTAGAAGCCAAAACAACGATTAAACTGTTTGAGCCGTGCATGGTTTGTTCTTTGGTTTTTCCATTTCAAAATAAAACAAGAAAAAAAGAATATTCTGGTGTTTTAAGAATAATTTATTTGAGTTAAAGCTAAATTAGAAAAATGAAAATAGCAAAAAATAATAATTTTATTTTAACGGTTAAAGCAAAGATAAGCTTTATGTTAGTGCACCATTTGGGGCACTTCAGCAGAACCAGAAATCATGGCCTGAACTCCTGCATTATGTTTTCACTTCTCACCATGGATATATTTGTCATATTTTAAGGGTTATGGTATTGCCGTGAACAAAACTGCTATGCAGAGATGGGACTGAGTTCAGCCACTGCCAATAGCTTTATGAATGGTTTCCATTATTTAACAGTTTTGCAGCCACTATGAACTCCCCTTCTTTGGAGACTTGCGTCATTTTCGGAATCACGACATACTACAACAACAACCGTATATTTTATTTTGGATTTAGAAAGCTGAAGTAAAAATCATACACTGTGGATGTTTAATTTGATTAAATTAAGTTAGACTTTTTTTCATTTAGGTTATAAAAACAGAAAAACACTTTTTTAAAACAAAGGAACCAAAAAC